GATGCCGTTTGACAGCTCCTTTTATAGCCGGCTGTCAAACGGCATCAACCAATGGGAGCGATCGGCGCTCCCGCCAGGAATGCGGACCAGATTGGGGACTGTAGTCAGTCAGGGAACACAACAATTCTTGTTTTTTCTTCTTGGGCTATTTAATCTTTAAGTTTACTTTAAAAATTTTGGAGGGATTTATTTGGTTTCTGTGATGCTGTGTGGTTGAAATATTAGATATAGTTTAGTTATCTATATTCCGCTGTGAGGGTGTGGGTTCTTTCATTGTACAAGAATGGGGATTAAATCAGATGGAAAAATAATGTATAGAAGTGTTATTTTTTTCGTAGCTTGTGTTAATCATTCTACAGTTGGTTGGGTGGTCAGGCACTTTTTATGAAAACCATTACAATACATACAAGTGTGTTCAAATCACTACAGAACAACTAAACATCAAATTCAGAAGTAAAGGATCTTTCTTAGCCTTGCTGACAGACAGTAACTAAAAAGTACAAGGACATTCAAAACATATGTACTATCAAGGAGCCATGCTGATTCACACTGTCCATCATATGAATATAATAATTTATTCAATGAACATAGTCTGAAGTATTGAAACATTTTTATAATGCATTAGATGCTCTTGAAATAAATTTTCTGCCCTCTAGTGGTTATTTCACAAACATATTTGAGTTTAAGATGAAAGGAAAGTTAAAATTAAGGGAAACTTTATTATTTGTTTTACTGTAATTCATCACCCACACAGTCTTCAAATTGAGGCAAAACAATTAAAAATAGATTTAAAACAATATATAAAAATACAATTAGTTATTAAATTAGTTATAGCGTATAAAAGATATACTTCAATAACTTAGGCTTAAGCAACTTGCTCTTAGAGTTAGTCTTCCTTAAATCTAGTTTAAATAACTTAAACAAATGTTTAAATAACTTAAATAACAAACAGTGGTTAAAGTTAACACACAGAGAGAAAAGTCTTTATAAATATGTCCATTGGATAATAGTACAATTAGCACTAGAAAGTATTTGAGATAGTTTAGTAGGATCCTTTCAGATAGGACATAACTAGGTTTATGACCAAAATTGTGCTTACACCACCAAAAATGATTAATCCAAGCATTATTTTTCTATCTGATCTACTCCCCTATCTCCGAATAAAAGAAACCACACATTTCACAGTAGAATATAGTTAACCAACATTTTAGCTCCTTTTAAGGACTAAAGCGTACCTTGGCTGATAGGCACATTTGAAAATTGAAGCAATGTTTGACTGTGATAGAAGGATTTTTGTGAGTTTAAAACATGGCTGCAAAAGTGGGAATTGCCAATCATTAACATAAGGGCCTTAAGACGAACTAGTGAGATTTCTCTCCTCATAACCTTCTAAGTTGTCATCTGTCGCTCTTTTCAAGGCTTTAATTTTTTTCTGGAAAAATGGTCTTTACTCCCCCAATATTATTATTTTCAAGGAATTTATGGGAGAACTACAGGCCATCGTGAAAGCAACTCTCGTGATGCTATTGCTTAATTTACTAAAGGAGAAAAGGAAAAGTGTCCAGAAGTGCCAATGTTGCCAGTATGGCTGCTTGATTTGTGCCATGAAGAGTGGTGGGTGTTGCAGCCTCATTGGCACCTATGAGAAGCTCCCTTGTGGTAAGCCAAGGAAATCTCACATTACTGAGTACAGTATATGTGGAAATGAATCAGAAGATGGATGAGAAGTTACCTCAGATTTTTATTTCACTACTGGCAGAAGTGAATGGAAGAGAGACAGAAAGGAAGTGCATGCTTATTGATGTTGTTTCTTTTATTTTTGAGGTGAAGGAGAATATGGTGGCAGGAGGAGGAGTCAAGCCACACGTTTATTCTCTGCTGTGATTAGGATAGCCGCAGTCACACTGTGGCACTGTCCTCCATTACATCAGATGTGCCCACAGTTAATTACACGTTACCTTGCTGAATTTGCTGCAGCAAGAAGTGTATATTTAACAAACCAAAATGCAATACAAGAAGCTGGTGTGGTTCTTGTGGTTGTGTTTAGGGCTAGTTTCAGAGCACTGCAATATTCATGTTATTCTTTTTATACAAACCATTTGAGGGAAGAGACACTATTAATACCTCCAGGTTTAAAAAAGGATCTCTCGTATTGAAACAACAGGTTGGAAAGGACTAGAAATGTAATATAATTATGTGTGCTGCTGATTTTGAACATTCATCAAAATAGAAGGAAATAACATTTAATCTATTGTTGCTTTTGAATATACAACTATGGCATCCTGTAGCAGAACATCCCAACTTGGTGTTCTCCACAGGCATTCAGAATAAAATTTACAGAATTTTAGGAATTGCCCTCTGACTAGTTAAGTCCATGCTTAATTTTGAATTACTCAAATTAAATAGTGCAATTTCTATTGATGTGGCAAATAAAATGTTTAACCCGAAATTAACTTTGGAAGGTAATTGGCTCTGGACTTACTCTAGAAAAGCGATGCAGAAGAGACAAAACAGCTGCATTTCCTATGCAATACAGGGCAGGTGGTTCTTCCCTCTTGTCCTTGCTCTTGGGATTTCCCCTTTCCTCCTAAAACCAGGGTCCCATGGTACTTAACAAGCCATTCTGCCATCTTTGTCTTATCTAAATATGGCTTTGCCAGTGGCTGCTTTTCAAGGTAATTCAAGGGTAAACAGCACAGCAGAAGATAGAAGTTGTTTTAAACATTCCATCATTGGCCAACATGGAAGTACACTGGATGACTGAAATAGAAAAATGTGAAGATACTCCAAGCAACCACAGAAAAACTAGAGAGCTGGGAGAATGAACTTGGGAGCCGTGTGAAAGGGGCCTTAGTGGTTCATTTCAGAGTGGATTTGATTTAAATCAAGTCAATTTAAAGCATGATTTAAATCATTACTAAAATAGCTTGATCTAAAACAACTCAATTAAAGTACTGATTTTTAAAGAGCAGCTGTCATCTCTGTCCCGCAACAGCTCCTCTAACCCGCTGTTGACTCACTGACAGTCCCAATATTGCAGAATATACAGCCTCATGCTACATAACTAAGCTCTATTTCATGCTGAATAAACTAAATTATTAATGTATCTGAAATAGAAAACTATCTTTAGATAGATTTTTATTCCAAAAGCATTTTATTAAAATAAATTTGATAAAAATAAAACATCTGATTTAAATTTTAAAAATCTGATTTAAAATTTAAAAATTATCAATTTTTATCCACCCTCGTGTATTTATTTTACATAATTTATGAGATATTCTGAAGGTCTGGATTCAGTTTGAGTCAACCTAGATGTTTATCAAAGATTCTTGAGAAAGGTATTTCACTGGATCGATCCTGGTTTGTTCTATCTTTAATATTGTTAAGTATAACGAGTTCAGTTAGGAGATCTACTGAAAATTCTAGTAAAAAAAAAAGATTTAGAAATAAAATTTTCAAAGGCATCAGCTGTGACAGTTTTACCTCAAACTCTTAATTGTTTTTAAAATATGTTAGTTCGGTAGTTATGGATACAGAATACAAGAACTGGAATATGCTGTGTATAAAGTCCTGGATTAAGATTGAGGAGAGATTGATTTCAATCAACAGCAAAGAATCCTTGATGATTGATTTTGGGGCAGGCAGTTTTTCTCAGCCAATCTGCTTCACAGGATTGCAGCTCAGAATAGGAGATGGAGTCAGAGCCCCACATAAGAACCTAGAAGTCCTGAAGGAAAGCAAGGATGTATTAAAATTTTAAATGTTTTTCTAATACTACACAGTGCAAGCATAGAGAATCATATATTTGTAAGAAGATTTTAAAAATTATCAATAAATAAAATATTTCTGTCTTTGCTAGCCACATGAGTAGATATTGGTATATCTAAGATGCAGAATAAAATTTCAAAAACCTAAAAACTATAAAAAAAGGTGCTGATAGCTATTTGAATATATTATTTGTATTATATTTATTGTCTTTGTAGCTCAACTCTATCCAGTCGCACTGTTTATTCTGGGAATAAGGAGTACTAAGTCTTAAAGTGGGAGTTTTTCATTGTCTTTATAGGGCCATATTTAATAGTGCTGTGATACAAATTTACAAGATTTATGGTCGCTTTTGTAAATTTATGGTAATTAAAATAATATTTCTCTCACACTTTTTTTTTCAAAACAGAAACAAAGCACATGATGGCCTTAGTTCTGCTAATTTCCACTCTTGCCTTCAGCCTCACAAATGGAATAAATCTACAAGATTTTAGCTGGCAATTAAAAAAAATACCACAGATTGTGAAGGAAAAGACTTTCTTCCTTGACACTCCTAAATATGAAGCCAGTGCCAAATTAGAATTGAGCGGTGTGTGTGGGATTGAATGCCAAAGGACACTGCCAGTGCCACGTTGGTCTGATCTGAAGGAGCTGCTTTCCTATGAGACAGTCTTTGAGAATGGCACGAGGACCTTGACAAAAGTGGAGGTTCTGGGGATGGAGCCCGATGCAGTTGTAAACATTACTACTAAGATGCCAGCAAGAAGGAAGAGACAGGTCTATGGCACAGACAGCAGATTCAGCATTTCAGACACTCGCTTTCTGACCAACTATCCTTTTAACACCGCAGTCAAGATCTCCACAGGCTGCAGTGGTATCCTTATATCTCCAAAGCACGTACTCACTGCTGCCCATTGTGTGCATGACGGTAAAGATTACATTAAAGGCACCAAGAAACTGAGAGTGGGGCTGTTGAAGTTGAAATCCAAAGGCAGTGGCAAGAGACAAAGGGGAGCCAAGAGGAGTAAGAGGGAGATCCCAGAAGTCAAAGAGGATGAGGTTGACTCCAAACTCCAGAAAAGGAGATCTGGCGGTAGAGCTGGAAGAAAACAAAAGACTCTTCCTGTGTTGAATGAGAGGAAGTCAGAGCGTAAGCCATCTTTCCAGTGGACCAGAGTTAAAAGTACTCAGATCCCCAAAGGCTGGACAACAGATGTGACAAGAGATGTTGCAGTAGATTATGACTATGCAGTTTTGGAACTCAGGCGTCCCCACAAGAAAAAATACATGGAACTTGGCATCAGCCCGAATAGCAAAATGATTCCTGGAAATATGATCCACTTTTCTGGATACGATGCAGACCGAGCTGGCCAACTGGTTTATCGCTTTTGCAGCATATCTGATGAATCCAGTGATCTCTTCTACCAGTATTGTGATGCTGAGCCTGGTTCTACTGGTTCAGGAATCTACCTCCGCCTTAAGGAACCAAACAAGAAGAAATGGAAACGCAAAATCATTGGCATTTATTCTGGCCATCAGTGGGTGGATGTTAATGGAGAACAGCAGGATTACAATGTTGCAGTTCGAATTACACCCCTCAAATTAGCTCAGATTTGCCTCTGGTTAGGGAACAATGACACCTGTGCACAGGGCTAATGATAATGCAGGATCACCTAATATCTAGTAGGGTTAGGCAATGGAAGTCATACGTTGACTTGCTTTGGTTGTATTTGAACTTGACATCAGAAATTGGATTTCTTTGTATTGAGGAACAACAAAAAACAAATAACTCAGCTTTTATGAGAAATTTTTCTGCTAGGTTAATTAACCATAGATATGAGGTGCACTTAAATCCCAGGTTGTGTATGTATGTATGTATGTATATGTCTCTCTCTCTCCCTCCCTCCCTTTCTCTCTCTCTCTCTCTCTCTCCTTAAACACACATACGTAAGTATAAATCATTCATACTAAAGAACAAATATTCTTTGGTCTTTCAGTTTATTATTCAGTTAACACTTTAAAGAAAAGATTCTTCTCTGGTAACTGGTATTATTAAAACATTTATTATTTTATTTCCAACATGTTAACTTATCTCAGGGTTCTGCTCAAATAAGCATCACACATTCATTATTGAAACATAGAGAGGTAAAAATGGTCTTCACACTTTGATGGTCCTACCAAGTTAGTGTTTAAGTATTTCTAAAGTTTGGGAAAACCATTTTCTTGAATTCTAAACCAATAAATGAAGCTTAATCAAAGTGGCATGTTCCCAATTTGAAGAAAAGAGAACCATGTAATTTAAATGCCATTAAATTATATTTAGAAAATAAACAAAAATTGTATTTGTTTTATTCAGTCACTATTTTGAACAAATCCCTGCCTTTTAAAATACCACAGTGGTAACATGAGATACACAAGTTGCACTGTTTCCCAACCTCAACAACATGGGGCTATGAAAACTTCAATTCCTAAAATGCTTAGCAGTGGTTATGCTGGCTGAGGATTTCTGGGAACTTGAAGTCCACTCACTTAAAGTTGCTGAGATTGGAAAACCTTTATTAGGATTTATCAGTGAACCTTTCTTTCTTCAAATGATAGGCCACATTGTGGAAACAGTTCTTCAGATTTCCACAACTACCGAAGCCAATAATTACCGGTATTTGTTAATTAATCATGATCTAATGTTTACAAAATTTGTAGGTTAACATTTAGGTAAATGTATTACTGATTTGTTATGTATAATTCTTCTTATAAGAATTCTCATGGGTTCTTTTACTAGAAAAGGATTTAAGGTAAGCTTGTTATTTAAAATGTACACATTTCAGTAGTTTTTCAAAATAATATCTCCTGTGCTTTCTGCTTCAAGGATTGTCATGTATGTGAAGGCCATTTGGAGAAAACAAACTCATCGGAACTCTAATATGTAAAGTTAAGGTGAAATATTCCTGGCCATATGTAATCTTGGTTTTATTAATATTATAATAACTTTATTTTAACTTGAATTGATCAACATTTTTGTAAAAAAATGTGTAATAAGAAACAAAGTTTTTAAATATATGTATAAATGTGACAATCACTAAATTCTTAAAAACACTTCAGTTTGAATAAAATATTCTTAAATTTGTTTTTTGCCATAACTTTTGAAAAAGTATTAAATGTAGAATTGACATGCAAATACATTTTTATTATTTCTCTGAAATGTTCATTTCAAAATATTCCATATCAGATTAATTATAATCTACAAACCTTATTCAGAAGTATTCTTATTTTGAATTATTTTTATGAAATATAATATCCTTAATATTATAATATCCATAAGAAAAGAAAGAAGGCAATTGTACATCATGATGTTCTCAAAAGATATAAAACATACTAAAGGTTTGCAAGACTAATTTAAAACTAAATTTTATTTGTCTGGAAAATGTGTTCTAGTTTCTGTTATACTCAGCAAAATATTATATCACAGGTTTCCTACCAATGGCTTAATAGTATTCTCAAGCAATCATAAGACATCCCTCTTCAAAGAACTATAAGTTCTATGTCAGAGTATGAATTGGTATCAATTACTGAAGTACAGTGTGAAAATAAGAAAGTGAAAGTTGCATGTTATATTGCTGATCACTGGATTTACTGGATTTAAGAATTGGGGGGAAATTATGTAATATTTTTAATAGATGGGAACCAGAGGAAGAAAAATTCATCTAGGTGTCATAAGTGAATGGGGAAAAAAGGAAAAAATGCAAAACTGTGTAGGGTTACTGTATATACAATATCTCTTTGTTTAATATGGGATTTAAGCAGAAATCAGCTCATATGTACAAATGGAAAAATAATACATATAAAAGCATTAGTTTATTACAAAAATAGAAAATTAGCAAAGGACAATGTACGAACGACAATTAGGGATGTGCAGACTACTCCATAGATAGCTGATAGATAGCTTTTGAACAATCTATGAATAGAGTGAAACATGCACGCACAATATTGTTTGCTGTAATTGGAATCTGGTATGCTTTGGATAGAATCCAGATTCCAGCCCACCCACTCCCGAAATTTGGATAGCTCAACCTTGTAAACTTTGCAAGGTGTAGAAGTCCTGGCTAGTTGTTTTATATAACTTGTCCCGGTATGTGGGAAAGATCTTGGGAGATGGAGGGAAGAGATGTTGCCTAGGGAATAGTCAGATAAGAGGCAGCATAGCCCACAGAAAGAAACTTCCCTAGGTTCTTGGACTATAAAGGTGATAGTGGAAGAATTGTACTTTCAAACTTGTAAAATATCTGGTTGTGTCTCCTGCCTTGTCTAGGCCCTGGTTCAAATTGATAGATGGCCACTGCTGTCAGCAATATATCTTTTCTGTTTATCATTGGACACCTGCGGTTATTTATTGGGGTTTTGTTTCTCTGTGTTAATCCTTATGAGTAACCCAAAACTTCACTTGTGTGAGATGGGCAGTTATATAAATCTCACAAATATATAAATAAACTGTAATTTTAATCCCTTGCAAAGAGATCTTCTTCCTTTAGTCCTTTACACAAGAGACTAAGAGGAAAAATCTCTGTGAGGAGCTAAAAGAAAAAGTTTTTAAAATGCACAGGCCATCCAGAGTGCCTATGGCATTATTTTTCCATCTGATCTACTAAAAGAAACCACATACTCAGAGCAGCATGTTGTTTTAATGTACAGGGAAAGGATGGGATGTCAACTGATATTCAAATGCCACGCTTGATCAGGTGCTCCAAGAATTTTTTAAAAAGTTCCATAGCATGAAAAAGTTTTAAGACCTCTGTTTTAAATAATCTGTTCAGCAGAGAATATGTATCACTTCTGCAAATTTGCTGAGCAAGGAATTATATCTCCTGCTGCCAGGAAAGCCACCAAGATACAGGAATATCTTAGACATATGTTAAAATTGGATGTTTACAAGTGACAAAAGACCAAAAAAAACCCTGCACTTTCAATTGAAGACGGCTGCCTTCCAAATGGAAATGACAAGTTCCATAAATATTCCACAAATACAGACTGAGAAGATGCATCGCAAGACCTTTCCTACATCAAGAGTAACATACTAATGAGAGGGATAAAAAAACATAAAAGAAAAAATACCATATAAAAAGACTGTACATTTTTCAGACATCAAGGCATTCGTTCCAACAAGGTTATTAAAGTGTAGATCATTGTTACCACTTCAAAGTAATTCATATTTCCATTTTATCAAATCCTATAATTAGAACAAGGGCAAGGCCAGGTGAAAAGTTCTAATTCATTTGAGGTCCAAAAATGAGTTTGTGAATAGTCTTGAGTGTGCCTTTCCTTATCTTTACCATAGTTATTATGTGGCTGTGGTGGTTGTAATTAAGCTTCCTGTTCCTTGTGGATACAAGTTTTAACCCACAACTGAAAGAACAAGAGACATATTCAGACAATGATCATCTCCACACAGTATTATACAATATAAAGCCTCTTTATCAATGATGCACTGTCACAGTGCTTGGCTGGATGGAATGTTAGTGTTATAAAATTATAAAATGTTATAAATCTCTACAATTAAAATGGTCATTATTGCCATTTTCTCTTGATGTACAATGTATTTTCACAGTGCAATTTAAAATCCACATGAAAAGGTAAGAGTTTCAATCCATGTTATGTACACATATACATAATATAAGCATATATTACAGAAGTTATTTAAAAAAAACAGTTGGAGGACAATCAATTAACTTTCTGCTTCTTGTGCCATTCTTAAGAACTCAACAAAAGAATGGCTAGTTGCGTACATTTAGACAGTGAAATATTTTATGGAACTATTTTTTCATTTTAGTTTGTTAACAAATATGAAACTCAGTACAGTATGGAATACATAGATATCCTACAGGGTAGTTTTTCTCTCTAGTTTTACATAAATGTAAGAAAGTTGGATCAATTGCATGCTAAAAGTACTGGATTATTTCCTGGACATTAATCTCAATCTGAAGTTTTTTTCATCAATTAAAGAAATCAATGGGATGAGAAAGTAAAGAGGTTATAGAAATATAGTGTGACTGTAGCAAGGTGTATTCTGAAGCAGTAAGACAGTTATTCTAAGGTTAGCTATAAATCTGATCAGTGCTGAGATTAACAAAATTATAAATAAAAGATAAATATAACAGCAAAAAGACAAATCTGTCTCTTTAATTTTTATTTTCTATACTTCATAGTTTCTCAGCAAGAATTGTTTTTGTTTGGAAAAATGAATTGCTGATAATATGGTATGGTAACATTTACATAGGGTTCTTGTCACACAGCAATCAAAGCTTTCTCAAAAGCAAAGGCAATATAATTCTATGTTTCCAGATAAATCTGGAATTCACAACCCCATACTTGAGTTCTCATTTCATAAATGAGGTTTTGCCACTGCTATTAAGTATGCCCTTAAATATATCAATATATGTGGTGGAAAGTCAACGTTAAGCAGGAAAATAGAATGGCAGGATGAAATTACAGTAGGGAGATGCCTAGTGCTCCTATTCTATGCCCAGAAAGATGATAAATCTCACTTTGAAAATAAAACTGAATTAATTTTATCCACCGAGCTGGCCATAATGTGCATCAAATGGGAATCATATAGATAGATAGATAGATTAGATAGATAGATACATACATACATACATACATACATACATACATACATACATACATA